CCCGCCGGCCCGCCAGCCGGTGCTACTAGCTACCACTTCCTCTTCTGCGCCTGTAACTGTCGACGGGCGAGGGGGTGGAAGAGGAGGAGCTTTAGGGGGTGGGGGCGGGGGTGGCACCTGCAGTCCAGCCTCGCCTAGCCCAGCCCCTTCCACGCGGGACCCTTCCCTCCCCGGCGCAACACCTGCAATGGGAGAGGGGCTGCCCGAGGTCAGGCTAACAGCCCGCCCTTCTCCGTATCCAACCCTTTAGCAGGAACACCTGAAAATACTCAAAATCCTGCCTGTGCTCACGCCTCCCTTCTCTGCCTCCACCCAGGTCCAGCCCCATCAGCGCTCGCCTGGACCAGCGCAGTCTCCTCCGCCCTGGTCCCTGGGCTCCCGCCCCCTGGCTCCAGTCTATTCGCCCCACAACAGCCAGAGGGCGCCTGGGAGCACCTGAGTCAAGTCGGGATGTTACCCCCCTTGTCACACACCTTCCTCTTTGGGGTAAAAGTCCTCCATGCAACCCACAAGTCCCGATCAAACCTGACTTCCCTAAACGCTCCCTGCCCTCAATCCCTCCACACCCCTTTCTCTCACTTGCCGCCCAGGCCTCCTGCTGCTCCTCCAACAAGTCAGGCATGGTCCTGCCCCCAGGACCTTTGCACATGTTCCTCCCCTGCCTTAGGCAATTTCACTGCTAGTTCCCACACCACCTACAGGTCTTTGCTCAATGTCACCTTCTCATGAAGTCTTCTCAAACCTCCCTATTTCAAATCAGCCTTTTATCCCACCCCATCACACCTTATTCCTACTTTAAGCCTTGATCAAATCTGACATTTTATTATACTTATTTCTTTATTGTCTATTTAGAAATTTGTCTCTTATGTGCTGGACACTCCCCCCAGCACATATACGTGCTCCATAAATATTTGTTGAATGAATGGATAAACAAACAAACAAATGGTTGAAAGCTCTGACATTTATCCCAAATCCATCCATGTATCCCCATGGCCCTGGTCACTATCAACTCTCTCCTTATAGACTTCGCTAGCGACGTTGTTAATTGCCTTGTTTAGCAAACATTTACTGTGTTCGTAGCCCTTACCACCTAAAATCATCTTGTCTATGAAGCCTCTCTCCCAAGTTGTGAGTAGCCTCCCCTCCTCGCCTCAATCTCCCTAGACACACCTGGAATTTTCTTTTTTAATTCTTGTAACCACTGGGGGGCGCTAGGCCCCTTCCCTGGATATAACCCCCTACCCTCTGCCTGTATCAAAATTAGGCGGGAGAGAAGGTCAAGGAAAAGATACTCCCCTCAGCCCTTCCTGAGCCCCCTCTTCCACATGAGGGCGGGAAGTCCAGCCCAAACTGGAAGTTTCCAGCTTTGCGGTCCTACAGGTGCTAAACTTCATCCTCAAGCATCCTTCGCTCTCTATGTGTCAACTTCCTCATCTGTAAAATGGGTGACCATTTAGAATTATGGTAGGCATCAGAGATGGTGGGGCTGCCAAGAAGAAAGCGAGGAAGACAGGATGGCCCTCCAGGGCTCCACGTTTGAATCGACCACTCACAAACCGGCTCAATTTGGGCATGTGGCTTAGCTATCCGGTGCCTCAGTTTCTGCATCTGGAAAATGGGGGTGATGAAAATAGTACCTACCTCGTTGAGTGGCCTAGGTAAAAATCAAGTGCACTGAGGCAGGTCGGGCGAGCAGTCCAGTCCTGGCAAGCAGCCAGGACTGAGTAAATGTCAGCTGCGACGACTGCTTGCTTTCCTCCCTCCCTTCCCTTCCTCCTCCTTAGACGTGGCCAGAGCGTTCCCTCTCTCGTTCCCGATCCCCCCCACCTTTCTCATGCCTGCCTCCAGGCGTCACGATGCAAGATCCACCGCCTCCTTCCTCCCACCCGGAAAACCACCTGCGTGTTCTCCCCACCCCCCATGTCCCTTCAGTCTAGCTCAGCTCCATCGCGTTGGCACTGGGGGAGGCTGTGGCGTCTTCCCGCATCTCTCCACAAAACCCCAACACTCAGCTGGGGTTCCACTCCCGGAAACCCGAGGGGGCGGTCTAGAGGAAGCGCACCCCTCCACGTCACAGCTGCCGCTAACCCTCGCCTAGCCAGAAAACTCCTAGGGGCCGCCCCGCCCTTTCCCGGAACCCTGAGGGGCGACAGCGGGAGAGATACCCCTTCCCGCTTCCCGAGGGGCGGGGGCGACTGAGGGCCAGCCCGAGGGTAATGGAGGAGCCAAGTTCTTTTTTTCCTTTTTTTTTTCTTTTTTTCTTTTTTCTGGAGGAGCCAAATTCTAAGCGGGACAAAAGCGACAGAGGGGGAATGGGCGTGGCCAGCGGAGGGGGCGGGGCGGTGTCCTGAGGGGCCGGGCCCACTTTAAGGGAAGAGCGGAGTTTCCCAGGGCCCTGTGGTCTATGAAGAAGGTGCTGCGCCCGGCCGCGCGTGGCTCAGCCGTCGCGCATCGCCCAGGAGATCGCGGTTCGATTCCCGGTCAGGGCGCAGGGCCGGGTTGCGGGCTCGATCCCCATTTGGGGGCGTGCGGGAGGCAGCCGATCAATGACTTTCTCATCATTGATGTTTCTCTCTCTCTCCCTCTCCCTTCCTCTCTCTGAAATCAATAAAGACATATTAAGAAAAGCAGAAGGAGGTACAGTAATACCCAAAGGCGACGTGGTTACTGCGAGAAAAGGTTCTGAGGGGGCGGAGCGTGAGACGCCTTGGAGGCGGGGTCCGAAGGGGGCGTGGTATCGAGGGGCGGGTCTTACGGGCCAGGGCCCGGTGATTGGGCTCGGTTCCCACCTCGCCTGGTGGGAGGGGCCCGGGGCGGTAGAACGTCAGGCTCCGGTACCGCTCCGGCCTCTCGGGAGCTCCGTGGGTGCCGTCCCAGGTGAGTGAAGGGCCCCGGGTGCATCCAGGACCAGGGGATTACTCGGGTGGGGAATCCTCTCTTTTTCAGGTGGGGCCGCCGGCACCCAGGGAGGGTCTGGCTGGCTGTCGGTCCAACTTGTCCGCGGACGTAGAATGGGTCGCCGGGTGCCCGGTTGGGTCGCGGTGCATTACGAGTGTCCGTGTACCTGGGCGTGCCTGGGCGTGCTCCTCTAAGCGTGTTTCCTTTGCAACACGGCGATCCTCACTGCTTCCACTTTTGCCTGATCTGTCTTTTTAAGCCACAAACCAGATTGTGCCCCTCCCTCACTAAAAACCCTTCCATAGCTCCAGTTCTGTCCTACAGAGGTGAAAATTTGGTGCCCAGCAGTTCCTGCATGGCCTCGCCCCTGCCGACCTCGCTGGCTCTCCACTTAGCTCTTTGCTTACTGCATTCCAGCCACACTGGCCTCCTTGATGATGTCAAGTGTAAAAAGCAAGTTCCATCTCACCTTTGGATTTGTTGTACACCCTGCACCTGAACTGCTGTTTCTCCCAAATCTTTGCATAACTATCTCCTTCCCTTTACTAAAGACTCAGCTCCAGAGTCACCTTCTGGGAGAGACCTTCCTGACTAGGCTACTTAAAGTAGCCTGCCCCCTCCAGCCATCTTATCACCTCTCCCTGTTTTACCACCTGTATTGATTATTCTTAGAATTTATTCTTGTTTTGTTGTGTGTTTTGTCCACCAGACAGCGAAGGGCGAAGGCAGGTCTCTGTCATCACTGTATTTCCAGGGTCTAGAACAGCACACAGTAAGTGCTCAGCCAATTGGTGGTTGCTCAGTGTCAAGTTTGTCCATCTGTGTCCATGTGTCTATGTGCTGGTGCCTGTGACATGTACACATGTATATGGTCTATAGGCCATGAATACCCTCTCCCTCTTTTCCCCATGCTTGCCCCTACATCACCCTCTCTCCTGATTCTGCCCCCTTCCTCTCTCCCCTGCCCAAATATATAGAAATTATTCCAAAAGAAGCAGGGCAGGAGGATGACTTAGCCTGTGGCTGACCTGTGCCCACCCTAAGCTTCCCCACTCCCAACTAACCAGAATTTTGTCAGTGGTGCACCTTGATGTCCACTAAGGGGGACATGAGACAGAGGAACCTGGAGTTGGGGACTCTTAAGACGGAGACTGGGCCTGGTCCAGCTGACAAACAGGAAGTGCACAGGCACCCAGGAGACACACCTGGTGTTCAGGTATGCATTGCCTGGAGCCAGCTCCAGGCCCAGCTCCCCACCCCTAAAGTCACCTAGGGCTGGCCTGAGTACTTCCTGCCCCTTTCAGGCCCTCAGCCAGGCTGACTCAGGATGTAAGAATCCTGGTGCTGTTTTCCTGCAGACCCTGACCAGGCCTCGAAGACCTTGCAGGGTAGAGAGTGAGAAGCAGATCCCTTGCTTCCCTCCTCCCCAGGGTGGGCTTTCTCCACCAGATACTTGAGATAGGCCTGCCTGATGACCAAGGGAGTCCCAAAGTGTCTGGCATCTAAATTTGACTGTAATTATAATGAAATATATCGGCTCCAAAATTGCATTTGCTGACATTTCTACAAAGATGTGACCTTTCAATGTCCTTAAATGTGGTGTTACATTGGAAAGCCGTGTACAAGTTAGATTTTCTTAAATCCTAAGAATCCTTTTGTGTGCACAAGGACTGCTTAGGAGCTATGGAAATTAGTAAATTAAATTTCCTCTGGCCTGGAATGTTCTTTCACCCTGAGAACCACCAGGCTCGCTCCCTCAAAATCATTCCAGTTGTACTGACTGAGACCTTCCCAGGCCACCCGATGGAAAGTCAGAGCTCCCCCACTAGGATCTTCACATCCCATACCTGGCTAGATCTTTCTGCTTGGCTCTCTCTGACCTACCTACAAGCTCATCTATTTATTTTCTTAATCACCATCTCCCACACTAGACCAGCTGTGGTCCCCAGTCTGTTTTGTTTACTGCTGGGTCTCTAGCACCTAGAACAGCGCCTGGCACAGAGTGGGTGCCACATAAATATTGGTTTGAGTGAATTACTTAATTAAATTTCTACAACCAGGAGCATTACGTCATCTGCATAAAATGCCATTACATATTAAAGCACTGCATAAGTCTTCTCCCTTTGCAAGAATCCCAGTGAGTGCATGGCTGTTTCCATGAAATCACAGCCAATTCTAAATTAAAGTTACTCATAGCCTGACTTTATATATATAAACAGTTGACCCTTGAACATGGGCTTAAAATGCACAGGTCCACTTATATGTGAATTAATTTCAATAAATACTGTAAATGTATTTTCTCTTCCTTATGGTTTTCTTAATAACATTTTCTTTCCTGTAGCTTTACTTTATTGTAAAAATACAGTATATAATATATATAACATACAAAATATGTGTTAATCGACTATGTTATCTGTGAGGCTTCTGATCAATCATAGGATATTAGTAGTTAAGTTTTGGGGGAGTCAAAAGTTATATACAGATTTTCAATTGTGCAGGGGTCAGCACCCCTAACCCCTGCATTGTTCAAGGGCCAACTGTAATCTGGCATATATCTATATAGCTGGTATATATATTTATATATATATAAATATGACTATGATTAACTTGTTTAATTTAGAATATAATATATATTTATATAATACATATATATGCATATACAGAGAGAGAGATGCATTTTAAGGTTTGATAGGATATGGGCTGCTGTCTCTAAAACTAAGAAGAACACACACACAAAAGAAAAAAAAAACATGAGCCACTCAGGAAGCAGGAATAATTATTTCCATTTTACAGGCGTGGAAGACTGAGGCCTGTTGAAAGTGCAGAACTCAACCCCAGCATCCACTGTCCCCAAAAGCTCCATGCAGGTGCCACAGGATGGAGAGGACTTTGCCAGCCAACCCTGGTACCACGGCCCTCTGTCCCGCCAGGTACTGCCTTCTGCAGGGCCTCAGCAACATGCCACAGGGAGCCTCTCCTGCCCTTGACCTGCTGGAGACTCTTGGGTCCTAGAAGAGGAATTTAGGATCAAGGGCTATTGGAAGGGGTGGCTGGGAGACTGGGGACTGTCTTGAAGCTTGGTTGGTGTGACATATCACTCTTTATTTTTATTTTTTAATTTATTTTTAAGTATATCTTTATTGGTTTCAGAGAAAGGAGGGGAGAAGGAGAGAGAGACAGAAACATCAGTGATGAGAGAGTCATTGATCGGCGGCCTCCTGCACGGCCCCGATTGGGGATAGAGCCAGCAACCTGGGCATGTGCCCTGACCAGGAATCGAACTATGATCTCCTGGATCCTAGGTCAATGCTCAACCGCTGAGCTACACCCGGCTGGGCCACTCCTTATTTTTAAATTATCACTTTCTTTGGGATGGTGCTGAGGATGGTAACAGAGATTAAAGAAGGTCCTAGATCCCTCAAAGCACCCCTTGGCTCTGCTTGTCTCTCTCTCTTTCTCTCTCTGGGTCCCAGGCACCTGTGGCCACCAGGACCCCATCTCTCTCTCAGTTCGAGGCTCCCCACCTTCATCTTCAACTCAGGTGTCACCTTCAGGAGTCCCGGGACCCTGGGCATCCAATCAAAGCATGAGAGGTTGTATAGCTTAGTGGTTAAAATCCCACACTCTAGTCAGACATCCTGGGATTAAATCCCAGCCCTGCAACTTACATTCTGTGTGACCTAGGCTAAGATAGTTAACCTCTCTGGGTCTCAGTTTGCTCATCTGTAAAATGGGGATAATAGTACCTACCATTTAACTTTGGCAAAGGATTAAATGAGTTCATATGTTTTACACCTAAAGCAGCACCTGGCATCCAGTAGGGCTATACATGTGTCCACTGCATATATTGTTCAGTCCCCAGCCCCTATCACCAGCTGTGCTTTGTCTCTCTGATATCAGAGCCCTCAGCCCCTGTTTTCACACTAGCCATCGCAGCTGTCATAGGACAACTTGAAATTTTTATAGAGGATTTATGGGCCACACACTGGAAGAATCCAACTAATGGCTTATTTTGAACCCACATTTGCAAAGCAAGCCAGCGTATTTACTCAGATTGGAAGTTGTACCAGTCAGCATCAGCTAGGAGCTATAACAAACATTTCCAGGATGTCACTGGCTAAACACAATACACATTTAAGGGCTTGTTTATGTCACAGTCCAAGGTGGTTGGGGAGTGAGGAATTGGAGCTCCAGAAATCAGTCAGGACCTAAGCACTTTCCATCTTGTGGCTCAGCCTTACGCCAGGACTTTGTTGACATCAGCTGACAAATAGGAAACAGAATCTATAGGATTAAAAACAATTCTTTTAAATATATTTTTATTGATTTTAGGGAGAGAGAGAGAGAGAAACATTGATGTGAGAGAAATATCCATGGGTTGCCTCCTGCCCATGCCCTGACACACCCTGACCAGAGATTGAACCTGCAACCTGGGTATGTGACCTGACAGAGAATCAAACTCACAACCTTTGGGTGCACAGGGCGACCCCCAACCAACTAAGCCACACGGGAGGGGGCAGAACCTGTAGGACTTTGCAGGAGGGCTTTTTATGGGCCCTTCGTGGACAGTCCCCCACTGTACTTCTGCCCTCCTCCCATTGGCCAGATCTTGTCACATGATAGCTCCAAGCGCAAGGGAGCCTGGGAAATGTAGTCCAGAGGCGTGCCCATGAGAAAAGGGTAAACAGTTTGGTACCAAACTACCCAGTCTCTGGATGGCTTTTCTTGGGTGGGGGTTGTGAGGTACAATTAACTACTGATCTGGGCTCATGCCTAAACCCCCTGCCCCCTGTTCTCCATCCCCAGAAGGCAGAGGCTCTTCTTAGGCAAGACGGTGACTTCTTGGTTCGCGCGTCTGGGTCCCGTGGAGGGCACCCTGTGATCTCCTGCCGCTGGCGGGGCTCGGTCCTACACTTTGAGGTGCTCCGTGTGGCTTTGCGTCCCCGGCCAGGCCGGCCCACAGCGCTCTTTCAGCTGGAGGATGAGCGTTTCCCAAGCCTGCCTGCCCTGATTCGCAGCTATGTGACTGGCCAGCGTCCACTGACCCAGGCTACAGGGGCTATCGCCTCCAGGCCGGTGATGCGGCAGGAGCCTATTCAACGCAGCTTTAGTGAGGACACCCTCCTAGACAGCAGCACTCGGACAGAGCTCCTCAGGTACTCACAGGCTCCCGACCTTAACGGGGACACCCAAACTCCCTGGGTTTTTTCACTTCGGCAGGGTTAACACTTGGGGCCAGGTCATTCTTGGTTGTGTGGAACTGTCCTGTGCATTTCAGGATGTTGAGCAGCATCCCTGGTCTCTATCTACTAGATGCCAGTAGAATCCTCCCCACTCCACTCCCTAGTTGTGGCAAACAAAAAGTGTCTTCTGACCTTGCCAAGTCCCCTGGGGGCAGAGCATCCTGGGTGAGATCCAGTGGTCCTGAGTGACTGCAGGTAGAGGGTTCTGGGCGTTGGTTGGGCTGCCCTGCTCAGGCTGGGAATACACTTCTATCCCATCTCTGTCCCCCAGGGCCAGGAAGTGGAGTGACAGTCAGCCTGCAGGTTTGGAGCATGTGGGGCAGTCGAGAGAAGGCCACTCTGAACCAGGTGAGAGTCTCCCAGGACAGCCTATGGCTCAGAGATTTCTTTGCCCCTCATTCCCTGAGTGATCTTGAGCAGGTGACTTAACCTTTTGGGAAATGGGGACAATGATGCTCTCTAAGTGGTCACAGTGTTAAAAAACACATAAGAACTTTGTAGGTGCTTAATGTGGGTTTACAGTTATTCTAAGAAACCCTATGTGTTCTGACCATGGCTGATCTCCCTAATAACTCTTGCCGTATGCCCCTCACTCCAGTCACACAGTCTTCCTTTCGGTTGCTAGGACATTTCACATTTGTTCCTACCTCAGGGCCTTTGCACTAGCTATTCTTGCCATTAGAAAGCCCATTCCCCTAATCTTTTTCTGACTGCTTCTCACCCAACATGAATGCCTCAAAAAAGCTTACCCAAATCATCCTACCTAAAGAAGGTCTCCCTCATGCCCGGTCTGCCTTGTCTGCCCTATCCATCCCCCACCCCGTTTAACATAAGCCCTCTCCACATTCCAGTTACTGTATTACGTGCTGAGATACATCAATGAACGAGAAAGACAAAGATTTCTGCCCTAGTGAAGCTAACACCCTGTTAGAGGAAGACAGACTAAGAACAACAAAAATAAGTCAATTATGTATGATTTGGGGTAAAAATTAAAAGCACAACAAAATAGAGGAGACTTTAAGTAGCAGTCAGGAAAGGCCCCATAGAGAAAGATTTTGAGGACATAAGGAAGGGAAGGATGTGGATAACTGGGGTGAAAGCGTCTCACACACACACACACACACACACACACACACACACACCAGCAGAAGGAATGAGTGCAAAGGTCCTGGAGCAGAACAAGAGTTTGAACTACTCATTCAGCCAAAAGGAGGTGAATGTAGCTGAAGCAGCAGGAGTGAGGGAAAGTCAGAGAGATCTGGGGCTCCGAGTTTGAGAGCTTTTTGGGCTACTGTGAGGACTTTGGCCAGTGTTCAGAGCATGCTGAGAAACATGGGAAGTTGTTAAGCCCCTATAACAGGGTCTATTTAAATGCTTTGTAAGTATAGAATCTCCCAGAAGTCTGGGTGTGGTTTTAAGTTCTAATAACCTTGGAAGTAAACATGCTACAAACTTAACAACAAAAGACATCATTTGAAGGTTTGATAAATTCCATTGCTTTGATGTTTATGTAGTTTTGTGAATTTTGATTAATATGTTTTTGGTTTTTTTAATTTTTTAAAATATATTTTTACTGATTTCAGAGAGAGGATGGGAGAGGGAGAGAGATAGAAACATCAATGATGAGAGTGTCGTCATTGATCAGCTGCCTCCTGCACACCCTTGACTGGGGATCAAGCCTGCAACCCGGGCCTGTGCCCTGACTGGGAATTGAACCGCTGTCTCCTGGATCCAAGGTCAATGTTCAACCGCTGAGCCACACCCAGCCGGGCAATATGTTTTTATTTTAATTTTGTACCATCAGTACTTTACCATCTTCAGTCAGAGGGACGAAAACAAAGGATTCAAATTTAAAATGTGGTATTCAGAATTCATAAAACTATGTAAGTGTCAAAGAAAGTTCATTTTCAAACCATTGATGTGTAGCATTTATACTGGGGAAGTTGTTAAAGTTCAAAGCCACATCAAGATAGGTAGGGATACCTGGGTATTGACTGAATGAGTGGATGAACCAGGACCCACTCAACTATCTTCTCTGTGTACCTCCTGAACCCTTTCTTGTGTGATCCCCAGGAGCTTCCACTGTGCCCACATTTGCCCTGCGTTGCATGGGTAGTGACCCTGTTTTGCTGAAAACCCTGGCTCCCCTGGGATCAATTACTGACAGCCTCAGGGCCTCGGATGGGCAGCTTCATGCCAAGGCACCAACCAAGCCACATCGAATGTCCTCACTGGTGCTGCCCGATGCCTCTGGACAACCCCCAACATACTGTGAGCTGGTGCTCCGAGTGCCCAGTGCCCAGGGAACACCCCCTGGCCACAGATGCCCAGAGCCAGAAGCCCCATGGTGGGAGGCCCAGGAGGAGGAGGAGAGATGTTTCGCAAGACCGCAGGCAGAGGTCTCTTTCTGCCACCCTGACAACCCCTCCAGCCTGATGGGCCCCCAGAATCGGCCCCTGGAACCCAAAGTCCTGCATACTCTCCGTGGTCTATTCCTGGAGCACCATCCTGGGAGCACTGCCCTCCACCTGCTACTGGCAGACTGCCAGGTGAATCACATACCTGATCCCTTCTCCCCAGACAGAGGTGAAGCCCAACTGTACCTTACACCCATACGCTTACTCTGTTCACTTGTCCTCCCCACTCCCCCTCCACTTCCCCTAGGCCGCGGGACTATTGGGAGTGACCAAGGATCAGCGGGATGCCATGGGGGTTGCCTCTGGCCTGGAGCTGCTCACACTTCCCCATGGCCATCGCTTGCGGTCAGAACTGCTGGAAAGGTGAGCCAGCCACCTGGAATTCCCAGGATCTCCAAATCTCCCTACTCTGGGAGGGGGGATGGGCAGTGCCACATCTGTCCTTCCTCACCCCGAAATACACACCTCCCCACTGCCCCCAGACCCTGGTCCTCTGCCTCCACAGGCACGAGGTGCTGGTGCTGGCCGGCGCACTGGCGGTGCTGGGCTGCACGGGGCCGCTGGAGGAGCGCGCGGCTGCCCTGAGGGGCCTGGTGGAGCTGGCACTGGCGCTGCGGCCGGGGGCGGTGGGAGACCTGCCGGGACTGGCCGCTGTCATGGGCGCTCTGCTCATGCCCCAGGTGAATGGGGTGCAGGGGTGGGAGGAAGCCCGAGTGCAGGTGATGGGGAAAAGCGGGCATGCTCAGGGTTCTTACCCCAGGTGTCCCGGCTGGAACACACGTGGCGCCAGCTCCGAAGGAACCACACCGAGGCCGCGGTGGCCTTCGAGCAGGAGCTGAAGCCCCTGATGCGGGCGCTGGATGAAGGCGCCGGTGAGTGGCGGCATTTGGAGCCACGCACCAGCTCTAACTCAGAATCCTAATCCAGTCCGCGGCCAAGTCACTGCTTCTGTCCTTAACCCACACCCTTCGCCACAGGCCCCGCCCCCCTCACCCTAGACCCAGCCTTCCACACTCGACTGGGCCTCGGATCCAATCCCTAGGCCCCGCCCTCACTGTACTTTAGGCTCCACCCCTTCCTCATAAGCTCTGCCTTCTGCACCCTAGGCCCCACCCTATGCACTAGGCTTGGTCCGGGCCCCAGTCCTTAGGCTCCGCCCCTGCCCTATACTACGCCCTTGACTCAAGCAAGTTACTTTAGTCCTAGGGTGCCTGGCCCAGTGTCCCACCCTCTTCACCCTAGGCCCTGCCCCCGTCCCAAGCCCACTCCAGGCCCTTCTCTCCACAGGACCCTGCAACCCCGGCGAGGTGGCGCTGCCTCATGTGGCACCCGTGGTGCGCCTGCTGGAAGGCGAGGAACTTCCAGGGCCGCTAGACAAGAGTTGCGAGCAGCTGCTGCGCACCCTGCAGGGGGCGCGTCAGATGGCCCAGGACGCACCCAAATTCCGCAAAGCAGCTGCCCAGCGCCTGCAAGGTGAGCGCCCCCTCTGCGCTGGGCTGCCAGAAGGTCCCAACTTTAGGAGCAACCCGCATGCTCTAACCTGGTGCCCCCAAACCGTGCCTGGGGCCATAGTCTCCCACCACGCCTCCCGCAGTTCCACGCAAATTGGGACAGCTCCCCTCAGGGGCCCCCAAGCCTGCTTGGCAAGCAGCAGTGGATGACAGTAAGCGCCCTACACCCAAAAGGGGCGGGCCCTGCTCCCAAAGTCACACTCACGTGTCGCACTCCCACCCATCCCAACTTCCTCCCAAGTTTGTCGCACAGGGTGGCCCAGGACCCCAAATCCTGACCCCGGAGCAGCTCCATCTCCAGGCACAGTCTCTAAGGTGGGGACCCTAGCAGCTCAAACCAGGAACAGAGCGTCATCCCCATGCACCCTGGCCAGACTCACCTCCCCCAATCCCCTCAACCACGCCTTTCCCTGCACCTGCAAGGCCCACAGAGCCCACACCCCCCTACCCTACTTAACTGTCCAGAGTACTTAGGGCAGAGTTCCTCCAGGGCCCTGCAGGGTCAAAGTCCCCAGGGGAAAAGGCAGATATGAGGAGGGGCTATGTAGGTGCCTGGGCCTGCCCCCAGCACATCTGGCCCTTCCCCCAGGATTCCGGCCTAACCCTGAGCTGCAGGAGGCCCTGACCACCAACTTCGTCCGGAGGCTGCTCTGGGGGAGCCGGGGTGAGGGGGCTCCGAGGGCCAATCGTCTGGAGAAGTTTCAGCATGTCCTCAGCGTCCTATCACAGCGCCTGGAGCCTGACTGCTGAGAGCCCAGATCCCCTTCTTCACACTGGGACACCCAGACTTTTGGTAATCCCAGCGGAAGACCAAGGAAGTCATCCCAAGTTGCTCCCACAGCCAAACAGGGTGAGGACCCACACCCTGACTTGCAGAAGGGGTAAGGGCAGGTTTGCAAGAACCCACCCTGCCTCCTAAAAATAAACTGGGATCCTGGGGTGAGGGGCAACCTCCTCCCCCACAGAAGACCCAGGTGTCTGGAGGCCCTGGCTGCCATCTCCTGCCCCCACCCCCACACATATCCCACAAATGTGAAAGTGTAGCTTCTGATAAGAGAACTTGCAGCTCTGTAAGAGGCCAGAGTTCAAAAGCCTTTCAAAGGTTGTGACTGCTAGCAGATTGCTTGCCCTCTCTGTGCCTGCCTTCAACATAAAAGTGAGACTGTACTTTCTAGGAGTTATCGTGGGAATTAAAGCTCAATATTTAAAAGGGATAATGGGTGGAGAATGCCTGGCACACGGTAGGTGCTCAATAAACACTACCTGTTCTCAGTAAGCTGCCACGAACACAGAAGGAATGATGTTTGGCACCCTCGTCATAGACAAGGGCCCAACTCTCAGGAAGGGACAGGGTGTGTCCAAGGTGTGCCCAAATTCACCTCCCCTTCCTCATTCCCTGTGTGGCCTCTAAGGAAGGTGGCATTTGAATATCCAGCCCCAGTATCTAAATCTCCTAAAAAACCATGGACTCCAAGAACTCTATAATTTTTTATATATATATATATATATATATATATATAAAACAAAACGGTCCTAGCCAAGTGGCAGGAAGAAAAGATTTAAAACATGAGTATGTACATCAATGGTAGAAGGCACAGCGGGTCCATCTGAGGTGAGGAGTGGGGTGGAGGTGGGGGGCAGCAGGTTACACAGGTCTCAGCTGAAGCCACGGGGGCAGAAATAAAGTGCGTAGGTCCTGGGGGCCCCCCGTGGCCCAGAAGCAGCAGCCGACAGCCCCCTCTCCCCACCTCTGGCAGGGTTCAGTTGAGCGTGATTCGGAGGTAGGAGGTGGGCACGTAGCCTTCGCCTCCCTGTTTCCGCCTAACCCGAGTCCAGCCATCGCCTTTGTCTTCTTCCATGAGACTCAGGTCTTCACCTTCAACCATGGAGATGGTGCCCTCACTGGACCCTGTCGCGGGAGTGGTGGTGGGCTTAGGTCTGCTTTAGGAGGATTTCAACAGAACCTAGCCAGACACCCCCACCCCCACGCAAGCAACTGATGCTCACCTTCAAAGTGGTAGATGGCCACACAGGTACCTATAGGTGATGCAGACTCCTCCTCAAAATCCTCATCAAACTCCGTGTAGATGGGGGTGTCCTGGCCTTCCTCCAAGGGGGGCTCTTCAGAGCTGGAAGGGGAGAGTAAAGCAGGTGAAGACAGGCCTCCCATGACCCGGGGGCAGACCCACTGTGACCACCCCACTCACCTCTCCTTGTTCTCCTGTGATCCGCTATTGCTGCTGCTGCTGCTGTCAGGTGGGGCGCTAGCTGGGGGGTCTGGAGGCCGGGTGTGCCGGCTCAGGCTGTTCCCCCGGTTGCTCAGGACCCGGCTCTCAGCTTCTGCCAGCCAAGCCTGAGAGGAGGGGACCATGTGGTCAGTTCCAGGGCAGGGCTCTGGGGTCAGCCCGCTCTGGGCTCAGATGTTTCCTGAGATCACTCATGCACACCCAAAGCTGTGATGAGAAACAGCTGGAGCCTCCCCACAACACCTCCCTGTCCCCCAGGCAGTGACTCAGCCCGGCTGGCTGGCCCCGGCCCCCGCCCCTCCCCAGGGTCTTCCCTGACCTCATACTTCTGCACTTCCAATTTTAGCCGTTCAATGTTGTTCAGGGTTTCTGTGATCTGGGGCTCCAAGCTGTTGGGGTCCCCCATCTGGGGTGTCTTCTCATACACATCCTTCATTTTCTTCAGGGCTTCTCTAGGACCAGACAGATGGATGAGAAAGAACAGCCCCTTGTGATTTAACAAGCAAAAAATATGGGTTTTGCCCTGGCCAGTGTGGCTCAGTTGATTGAGCACCTCCCATGCACCAAGAGGTCACTGGTTTGATTCCCCATCAGGGCACATGCCTGGGTTGTAGGCTCGATCCTGGGGATCGTGCAGGAGACAGCTGATGTTTCTCTCTCTCCCTTTCCTTTTCCTCTCTAAAATCAATAAAAACATATTTTTTTAAAAAAAATATGGGCTTTGCTTCATGGAGCAAATAACCAGACAATAGTTAAAGCTCACATATTAGTGCCTCACTGCCTGGGCTTGAACCCATCTGGCATTTCCTAGTTGTGTCCGTTTGGGTTGTTACTGAACCTGTCTCGATATGCTAACCTTGAAAATGGGGATAACGATGCACACATCTCACGGGAACGGTTGTGAAGATTAGAAGTGCCTTTATTTATTCACATACCCAGAGTGCTGCACAGCTGCAGAGCAGGCACTGTTCTAAGCAAGGGTGTCAGGATCCTGCCTCTGCTCGCATACAGTCTCTCAGGAAAACTTGGGAACTTCAGTGAATTCATGTAAAGGGTTTGGAATAGCGCCTGGCATACAGTGAGTGCTCTATAAATGTTAGGTATTATTATCATCATCAGTCCCTGGTCCCTAGTTCCTCCATGACTATCTGTACTAGCAATAATAGTTATACGAGCGTAGATTTCTGGAAAATGTCAAACCTGGGTTCGACTTCTTTCCAGTCCTAAGATGATCCATGTTACAGATGCAGACTGAGGCACAGAGAGGCAAAATAGCTAGAACTCAAGGCCCATCTGTCGACGCCAGAACATGCACCCTTCACCCCTACACCATAAAAACTCAGGAACTGCGTCCCTAATGGAACTTTAAACCAATAAAAGCCATTTTGTACAAGAGGGCAAAATATAATTTGTCTGTCTGTCTACAAGTGGCAAACGTCATTTCTATTATGTAAGAGGACTGGAAAGAAAATCTCGCTGCTTGGAAAGAATGAGTAAAAATTTTCTGTTTTCAATCTGGCAGGTTTTTATTGTTAATATATTTTAAGCGTTTGAGTTAGTAAATAGATAACCATATGTTATTTTTTTAGCCAATTCATGTAGTGACTGGGACTGACATATGTATATTTTTTAATATATTGAACCATCTTAGCATTACTGGGGGGTAACACCCAACTTCTCATGATTTTTTTAAAGTCTTTTAAAAAAGCCCTAGCTGGCCCAGCGGGCCTGGCTCAGCGGTTGAGTGTCGACCTGGGATCCAGGCGATCGGGGTTTGATTCCCGGTCAGGGCACATGCCCAGGTTGCGGGCTCAATCAATGACTCTCTCCTCATTGATGTTTCTATCTATCTCTCTCTCCCTCTCCTGTCCTCTCTCTGAAATCAATAAAGATATATATATATATATATATAAAAAAGAGCCCTAGCTGGTTTGGCTCAGTAGTTAGAGCGTTGGCCTGTGGACTAAAGGGTCCTGGGTTTGATTCCAGCCAAGGGCACATACCTCAGTTGCAGACTCGAACCCTGGTCCCTGTGCAGAGCATGAGGGAGGCAACCAATTGATGTGTCTCTCTCACATCGATGTTTCTCTCTATCTCCCTCCCATTCTCTCTCAAAAGCAATGAAAAAAATATATCCGTGGGTGAGGATTTTAAAAAAATAAAGTCTTTTAAAAAAAATGTTTAAATATGATAAAATATACAGAACATAAAAATTCCCATTTGAACCATTTTTGGTTCATTTACGCCAAATGTATAGTTCCAGGACATAAAGTACATTCACACTGTTGTGCAACCATGACCACAGCATGATGGATTAAGTTTAAAACACACAATTGGATTTGCTCAGTTAGGACTGCATCTAAGATCATAAATGAAGTAAAATGAGCCCATAATTCTATTTTCTTGAATTCTTGCTAACTGATTTTGAAATAAAGATTCCACCAGCCTCTAAAAAAATGTGCTGGTGGTGGTCACTCATTTTCTGTGTGCTGGAATGAGTTGTATAAGATAGGAAATAACTGTTTCTTATGAGTGGGGTAGGAATCACCTATGTAACCATCAGGGCTTGGGGCTTGCTGGGAGATGTTTGAGTACCATTTCAATGTACAGATGGTCCCTGACTTACCATGGTTTGACTTACAGTTTTCAACTTTGCGATGGTGTGAAAACGATACCCATTCAGTAGAAACTGTACTTCAAATTTTGATCTTTTCTAGGGCTAGCGGTATGATACTTTGTCGTGATGCTGGCAGCCACAGAGAGCCATAGCTCCCAGTCAGCCACCATCATGAAGGTAAAGAAACAATACTATGCAGTGTAGTATTAAATGCATTTTGACTTTCAGTATTTTCAATCCACAATGCATTCATTGGATGTAACCCCAGGGTAAGTTAAGGACCATCTGTAATTGTTTATTATTTTATTTTCTTCTGTGCCTGCCTACCTTTCACCTTACCTCTGGTCAATCTCCTTCTGTAGCTCCCGATTACGTTCCTCCAGCTGCTGTTGAAGCCGCTTTCTCTGCTGCTCCGGGGGCAAGTGGCTAAAATCCTCAGTCACCACTGTCTGCAAGGTAGAAAGAGAACTGAGTTTGGGATCATGCAGCCTCGGCTTCCAGGCTCTAAAATCCTCATAAGACAGACACACCAAGTCCACCTTCCTCCCCACCCAAGGTTCTTGGGGGGCAAGGCCATGCACTGAGCGAAGCAGGTCCGAGTCGCAACGGGAGGAGGGGGTCCAGCCAGCAGCAGGAAGCGAGCCCAGGGTCCCGCCTCCCGGCCGCCGGGCAGGCTGGGCGCCCCCTCCTTCTCCCCTGGAGGCCTCACTTACCCCACGGCCGCCTCGAAAGCTGCGGAAGGACGCTAGCCGCGGTTTGACCGACTTACTGATCTCACTCAGTATGGCCAAGGGGTCGAGGCCGGATCGGGGGGACGGGGGTCCATTAGGCAATGCCGAGGGCAGAGGGCCCCCCAGGGGGGAAAAGGGTGGGGGATGCGGCTACCGGTGGGGACCGTGGAGGAGGTGCACCAGGAGGGGTGGGAGAATATACAGAACGAGTACGAATATGGATGGACGGAGGGACGCATAAAGGAAAAAACGAAATGGAAAAAAGAAAAAAAACGGTAAGAAAACCACAACTCAAGATGCACAATCACACACAGAAAATGCATGCAAAGAACAACACGAAAATCTGGGAGGTCGCAGGGAGAGCATTAGACTGTGAGCCAGAAGGCCAGACCCCTTCCTCCCCCAGTATCTCCCACATACCCTGCATCCCATGTCCAAATACCTAGAATGGGGTCTGAGGGCGCAGGGAAGCCCATGTTTCTGCCCCCACCCCCGCTTTCTGGGCTCACAGTCTAGAACGTGGAGGGAGACACATGCAGAAATCAAGGTCTCATACAGGTATGGGACCACAGAAGTCAAGGGCAAGCTGAGAGAAGGGTCAAAGGCATGAAATATCAGAGGATTACAGGTGGGGTTTCAGCTGGGTAGGGGGAACGCCATATATAAATTGAAGCTGGTATCAAGGGCCAAAGATATAAACTAGGGGGTAGGCAATTGTTGAAGGTATAAACCAGGAGTGTCCAGGTATGTGCTTGACATTGAAAACCAAAAAACCCAAGAGAAAAACAGCCTGAAGGTTGGGGCCTAGCCCCATGGGTGGGATGGAGAGAGACCCAGGGAGAGTCCCCAGGGCCAGCATCCGAGCCTTCACCCTGCCCTAAATCCCACAAGCAGGTCTTCTCC